ATCACTAACATTGGTGTTTATATCAGGTTTCTGTCTGATTTTGCAATTAGCTTTTTTCGTGGCTAAATTGACTACAGGGAATGCAAAACACAGCATGAAAATAACAACACATATGACTCATTTGAATTATTGTGTCTCAAAGTCTTTATTAAATGTCTAGCTGTAGCCACTGAAATCTTGAAGAACTAAAGTGTATTTGGTCTTGTTTCTTAATTGTTTTGCTCCCAGGGGTATCTGAGTTTGGGAAATCTGGGTGCTAAACTCAATGTAAATACTGCCTCCCAGCACCTTCGGTTGCAAATGGCTCATAGGAAACTGTCTATCCTGAGTTGAACTGGAATGGAAGAGTCTGGTGTTTAACCTCTTATGCTAATTAAGGTCCAGTAGGCATTGTGATCTCAAGCTAGAGATGTACACATTTGAGGGGAAAAAAAAGATACCAATTCTATCATGACATGTTTTCAGATCAAAATCCCCTATGGTTTTCAATCATGGAATTGTTTTTTGTAATCCTTGTATTAGGGTTAAATTTATTTTTATTATGTTAAAAGCTTTGGTTTTATTCATACAAAATCTGGAAGTAGAATGTCTAGACTTTGAATTATATTAAATCCACTGCAATTTATCCAAGGATTATTTATTTTAGGGTTATTTGTACAGAAGTGCCATTAATGTGTTGAGCGGTTTGTTCTTGGACAGCAGGGACATGACAGTCAGCTGTAACTTGAGGGTAAACATAGCATTTATTATGTCTGTCTTGAATGTTTTGCTATTTTAATGATAGTAATTGTTCTTTAGTTATTGTTACATTCACAACATTACTTCTGGGCATGTTGACTGGACAAGCTGTCAAATTAAGATGTATTTAATATGCCTACTGGATTTTGATACTGTATGAAAGTAGAAAGCCTGGTGAAGCATTCTAGTGAAAAGTGCAGATCATAGTCTCAGTTGTGGTTTAACGGCAGAGTTGCAAACAATAACATAGAAGGTCAGGTCTTTCTTCAGATATTTTCCAAATGGGAAGTGTTAGGATTAAGGATTGGTAGTGTATCTGGAAGTTAAAAGATTTTTTTCTCCCACAATACCCATATTTTTTTAATATAAATAAAATATAAAAAACCCCCAATCAACCACCCTCACTTTGTGAAATAATACCTTTGAAAACTTACTCTACTATTGACTGCAATGAAAAGGCATTATAGTAAAAAAATGGTGCACTGATTTACTTCAGTATGATACTTCTGGTAAGATTTATCATTGCCTCCAATATATAATAAAAATATATTTGTATAAAAAAGCAGAATGCAAGTGGCATAACTGTTAATCGGCATCAACTTTACCTAAGGTATACCCCCTCTTAGTATGATGTTATGACACACTGACACCATATCTCATCAGCATGCTTCTAGTGGTAAATCCAAGAAGAAATTATAGTTTGTCATAGGGGAAATAGCTTTCTTTCATTTTGATGCTTAGTAACTCCTTTTTGTGAGGACAAGAGAAATAGATACATGACTTGCAACACAATTTCCTTTGCTCATCTTAGTCATTCTTACTTTTAATCTCCTCATAACAGATCCATTCCATTTCTGATAAGAGAAGTTTTACATCTGAAAATCTCCAAGTACTTATTGTGCATGAGTTGATCTGAAGTTTAATATTCCACTGCTTATAATTGATTTTTGGTGGTCTTTGCTTGACTGCAGACAAATGTGAAAGCACTGATGGATAATGTCACCATCTCAGGAGCTTTTATCACATCGCACTTGCTCACCTGTTTTTCTTAGTGACAATTCTAAACATCATTGAAGCATAAAACTCTCCAATTTGTGTACACTTGCAATAATTCTGTATGAAACATTGCACTTCAGCAAATCTTCATGTGTGGGAGGAATATATTTAGCATTCATTATTTCAAATCTGTTTTTTCTCTGTTGTCAGGAAAGGATCCACTGCTCCTGTTTATCTTAGAGTGGGATAGACTGTGTAAGACTTCTCTTGGGGAACACCTGTTTCCCCAGTAGTCTCATTGATGAATCTGTTATTGGGATCATTCTTACAGGCAACTGACTGGTAGCATGAGTAATGTTTTCCTAGTCTAGTTCTGAAGCAGGGAAGGAAGTTAATTTTTACCAGGGATAGAGAAGTTAATAAGTTTGATTGTAACAATCTTGCCAAAATTTGCTGTCTGTAAGTTCAGACATCTAATGTCAAAAGAGTTACTCTTGTTCACAGATCAATTAATTTTAAAATAGAAGTTATTTTTTATTAAAAACAATTATAAATATGCATATATTCTTACACAGTGGCACAAACTTGTCTTTGGACTGGTTACAGAGACAATAAGAAATTTATTCTAATAAACTTGGCTGTTGCAAGCACAGATTTGTTTTAAGCGGCCCACAGTTAATTTTGTAAAATCCTAGAACTCTTTGAGGTAGAAGATAAGTTACAAATTTAAAAGATGTGTATGCATGGGGGAAGCAGTTGCTTATGTTAGTGCAAAGGCACTTGTATATATTTTGGGTATACAGGTTACAAAGGTTAGGAGAAAGAAAATAGCATAAAAAATAAGAGCGAAAGTAAAATTACTTGGGGTCATCTTTTAAGTTGTTTTACTGACAATTTAATGACACAGGTGCATGAGAAGTTTTTTATATAATTTAGAAAAATAGGATGTCACCAAGCATCAATGTCAATTCAGAGCTTGCAGTCTGTTTTACATAGTAAACTCTTTTTTTGGAACAGTGGAGATTTTTGAAAATTTACAGTACATAACAGCTGCTTGAAGCCAGTCTTTTTCAGGTGTAACATGTTGATATGAAGTCATACTGTTGCCCTCTACTGGCATCTGCTGAAAGCTCTTAAGACCTTACTCATCAAGTACCATTGTCTCCAGGGTTAATTTCTGAAGGACGCTGTTAATACATTTCAGACAAACTCAAAACCATCCTTTGAAAGCAAAAGTCTTTCTCTGTAAAGAGACCCAGGGATGGGGGGAAAGAGGGAGGAGGGGTACAACTCCTACCTGTCAATGCTCATCTGCTTACAAACTGCTGAAAGCTTTAACTTCTACATTCAAAAGCCCTAAAACATAAAAATGTCAGCTGAATTAATTAAATATTTGAGTACTGACAACTGTTGGCGTGTTTGAATTTCGCAGGCTTGGATTAAACACATCGAGGGTCATGAGAGAGAGTATCATATTTCAAACTGCTCAATGAAAACACAGGTATAACACAGTGACTGTTGTCATCATCATAAAAAAAAAAGCCAAATTCACACAATTTTTCTTTCTGAGAGATGGCAGAATACAAGAGAGAAAAATATTTATATTTCACAAGTAGTTAGCTACACAGTTTTTTGCTGCAGTCATTAACAGAGTTATCTAAACAGTAATAAAAGACAGAAAAGAACAGAATAGTCTTATCTACTAGATAGTTGGGTTTTTTTTATACCCTTCTTTAATAGTCTAATCTCAGCTGCCCTCATATCTCTATACAACCTGTTACTATATGGAGATTTTATGTAGAACAGTGTCTATCAGTTGATGAGGTGTACTGTATTCACAATCGGTCCTTCAGAAGAGCTGTTTCTGTAAGCTGTCTCCATTACATACTTTTTGTGATCCTTTGACATCTTGTTCCCAAGAAAGAAAACATTCAGTATATTCCCTCTGAGCAATCATGGAGGAACACTTCATGCTGAGAAAAGATGAGCAGGGGATGAGGCTTCCTTTCTCCAAGTCAAGATGAATATCCCTGTTATTAGGGACCGTGGAGCTTTAAATGCTTTCTGTTACTGGCACTCTCTTACACTCTGATCTTTGGCGTATCAGTGAAATATGTCTGTTTGTTTTTTTTTTTTTTTTAACTGTGAAAGTAGTTAATCTTACTTACCTATTTTCTAGGCTTGAGTAAGTGTGTTAATAAGTGTTTGACATTTGGACTATGTTAAATCCATCTATAGATGCAAAGATTCTTTCATGAGCGGAAAGCTGTGCATTGACTTAGAATAGGCTTTGCTTGACTTGTATTTTCAAATAAGGGTTTGTTATACCTTCATCATTGTGATTGTGTAGAAACAATTCCATTTTGTTAATAGAAAAATAGTTATTGTATTTTAATTTGTTGAACTGTGTTATTGTACTAGAAACAACCTGATATTTGCTCTTAAAGTGTTGTGCACAGAAAAAGGAGGCAATTGAGTCAGATTCCAGTGAATTGCCTAAGAGTTAAAAATTAAAATGCCATTGGGGAATTATAAAGCTTTATTGCTTCTTCCAAATTATTGAGCTAGCTTAGAAATTCTTCACTCTGATTCTGAATGGCTCAGTATCCACATTACACTAATGTGAGTTTGGGAAAATCGATGCTAAATGACACCAGTTTAATGGAGCATTAAACTAAATACCTTTAAGATAGGTGATGCTGCAAGGGAGATGCTAAGATCCTTCTGCTTCCATTTCAATCATAAATTGTGACACAAAAATTGCAGAAACTTTTGATTAACTAGCTTCTAGCAGTTCAGATACAGCATTAAAAAAAGAGTAGATTTTATATTTCATTGGGATTCTGACACCCAGAGGGCTCTAAAAATGACCAGATGTGAAATAGAAGAAATATTGGGGAGCAGTTAATGCCTAACCATAAAAGTGACCATGTGTAAGTCACTGTAGAATGTGGTTTGGGCAAGGGCAGTAGGCGTCATCTTTTTTTTTTTTCCTTTCTTTTTTTTTTTTTCCCAAGGCTCTCTGTGTGATACATTGCTAGAACAGAACCGAGCAGCAAAGAGTAATATTTTAATCTAGCCCTGCATCCTGCTAAGGTGGACTTTTATTTGTAATTTTTCTAATGCTTAGATCTCTTCTTGTTTGAACTGAGTGTGAAGAAAAGACCAGGAAAAATAAAGTATTTCTGTTTGACAAAAAAATGTGCTGTGAGGCCTTCATATACTGAGGCCATATTTATGGATTCTAATGCTTCTCTTGTTTTCAGGTGAGCGTCCTTACCAGTGTCCTTACTGTGACAAAGCTTTCAGCAAGAATGATGGATTGAAGATGCATATTCGCACCCACACAAGGGTAAGTGTAGCTTAGTTTTTATGGTTACTTGAGGATTGCCTATGAATCATGTGTGGCAAAAAGTAAATGATTACTGTTTGTGTAGAGATCAGGCTATACCAACTAAGATAGTTTATACTTATCAAAATAAGAGGCAAAGATTTAAGTCATTAACTGTTAAATTCTAATTATGACTCCCTTACTGACCTTCTGGTTTTTTTCTGTGTTTGATTTCTTGTATGTTGAAATAATAGCAGTACTAACTTCTTCCTTTAACTTGTGGTAATTTATAGGTATAAATTAACATTTGTGATTGTTTACTGAGTAAACAACTCTGTGAAGTCTTCACTGTTCTTGAATCTTCAATATCCAGTGCTTTGATTCTTACTGTCACCTTAAAATCCAGTCACTGTGAGCTTATGTAGAGACTGTACTTCACTAGCTGATGACAAATACGAAGCTGCTAAATGACTTCAACTTTAGAAGTTATCAGTAGTTTGTGCAATGCTTCCTGGTGGTTCACTGGGAGCAGGCTAGTCCGATGTTGTTGGTTGTTTCTCCTTCTTTCTAGCTGTTAAATCACTTTAAGAAGCACTATAAAATCCTTTCTGTTCTTACTGTCCTATATTACTTTTTTTTCACCAGGAGAAATTTCATTACTGTGTATGTTCTACATGGCTGTGAGTGGGAGGAGCGGTAAACAAGACTGTCTCTGAAATAGTGCCAAGTTTAATTTTTTCCTGATTTGTCATACAGTCTGAGTAAAACCAACAAACCCCCCAGCCTCTGTAGAAAAAAAAAAAAAAATAAAGAAAAAAAGAATAAGAATAGGCTTTTAGAGGCTGTAATGTTGTATTTCTGTTGACTACAGTGATTTACACCAAGTGATGATTTCTTCCTAAATGCATGCTCAAGAACTTTACAAACATTATCTTCATTGCTTAAAAGCTGTAATTTAACTGATAGCAGTTATTTACAGCAGGTTTGCATATCCTACAGCCTTAGAAAAGGCAGTAATTCAGTGGAGGAAAGCTGTGCATTATTTCTTAATAATTGCATATTTTTTGATAGTTGTATGCATCAGTCCTGATTACCTGCACAGTGCAGATAATAAAGCACTCGGATATATTATGTTAACTATTAAAAAAAAAAAGTAATTTCTAATTGCACTGAATGGAAAACTTATAGTTGCTCTTCAACTGAGTGTACTTTCTTGGGATGTTTCTTGCCCTTAGCTGTGCTCTGAAACATAATTATGCACCATAGTAGAGAATTTGCTATTTTGTTGTTGTTTGGCTGTTTGCTACTACTTCTTCTGTGTAACTTGTTGCTTACATATATTCCCATACGTCATCATATTTTGCCTCTGTTACATGTAAACAAAAAAAACCCCAAACGAACACGCTTTGAAATTTGCAGGCTTGCCTCCAAAATGCTTCTATAAAATTGGACTGAAAGACAAACTGAGGACTTTACATTAATGTTGAAACGGGAGGAAAGAAAATAATTTTAACAATGATTATGAATGACAGAAGAACAATTCAACCAGTGTTTGTTATTTAGCTAACAGGAAAGGGAAGAGTTAGGAAAATAGATTTTACAGAGTGGAGATTTCTTTTTAATATTATGTAGACGTTGTAAGTAGACAGACTTTGTATTGCATTAAGAACGTAATTGCACTAAGAACATAATAAAATTTGACTTAAGATGTCTCAGAAAATGTTCTGCTGTATCACATAGTCAAAATACCGTCATTACAGAAAGAAAGGACTCAGTTCACACCAAATGTGATAGTGTTTCCATATACTTGAGATGTCATGATCATCTAGACCTGAACAGATCATGTATCACACACAGGTGTGTGAGTGTGCTAAGCAGACTACTGCAAATCTTTACATTTATACTAGAGGATTAAAATACGCAGGCACAACGTGATTTTTTTTAGACCTTGGTTTGGTGTGTTGATTATTTTTGCTGTCATGCTGTTTATATGATACTCCTATTCCGAAGCTTCAAGGTGAAACTCATTTGTGTTTGAATAGCATTATAGCTATATAATATTTGGGATATTAATTTATCCCAAATAAATACTTTTTACTTTGAGGTAATAAGAATCAATATTGATAACATTAACATTAGTAGCTCATTTTGAAAACTGAAGCCTGTTACTATAACCTTGCTTCTCCCAAGTTTCCCTCGTCCTCACACTTCAACACCTTATTCAATATCTAAATAGAATGGGATAGGTAAAAATATTAAAGTCTTAGAAGCAAAAAAAAAAAAGTTAACTAGTAGTATTAATAAAAATAATAGAACAGAAAGCAAAGCTTATTATGAACTTTCACAGATTTTAAAGTCAGAAGGAGTGGTTATGCTGAGTCTTGTTCTGCAGAACATTATCCATGCAGTACTGTAGGATAAGAAGCTGTAGTTTAATTGTTTGGATGAGTAAATATTAGTACAGGTATAGGGGAATAAATATGTATTTTAGGTGGTACGATTCAGACATAAGTGAAAGAACAGAATGGTGAAGGGAGTTTGGGTATTTGGAAACAATAAGAAGGAAGAGGGAGAGAGAAAATACTGAGAGGTAAGTTGAAAAGAGGCCATTATTTACAAGAGCACTTGTGTGCTTGGCAAGAATATGAAGATTTATTTAATGTTTGTAGAAGGTTGATGCTTGTCAGGAATGTAGTGGTTGACATTCAGGATCTCATTAAGAGATATTGAAAAACTTAACTAATTGATCCTTGTGTGTTTGGTGTTGTTTATGCATGACTTTTAACTTAGTAGTGTGTTGAGAGGAAAAAAAAGACCTAGAAAAATACTATCCAGGAAACAAAGAAAAAACCCTTTTAGTAGAGAAAACAGCTGTTTAGTATGTAGGTTATATAATAGTTTTGTAACATCAAGATCACCAGCCTGGAAGTTTCTCTGAACACAGGGATGCTAGCAAAGCTGAAATCTGTGCGCTGAGATGCAGAACTCTTGACAGTTTCCACCACGTGCTTTAAGACCAAGCAGGTCTGTCATTACTGCCTGAGATGTTCTCTCTATTCCCCTTTCCTACCATTTCGTTCTCAAGAAGGCACATGCTAGCTGCTGGAGAAAAAGGTGGGAATTCTCCAGTACTCTTGCTCATGTAGTCAGATACTCTCTTTACTCTGCGTTGTAGAGGTGATTAAGAGTTATGGATATTAAGATGGTTTACTTTACAAGGTTGATAGCATAACATATTTGTGTGTAGTACTGATAGTTGAATTTCCAACTTCAAGCATTTCAGTCAGATCTTTAACCAAGAGCAATATAAGCTGAACTGAAAATTCCGAGCTGTTCAGGTGTGTCTTTTTTGAAGTGAATGCATGCAGTCACATTGTAGCACTTCTCTGGTGCTCAGGGTAGTTGTGGTCTAATTCTTCATTCTGGAAATCAGAGACTGTGTATGTTAACAAATAGTACAATGCAGTAGTAGGTACGTAAAGTGAAACAGTTGGTGCTGAGGACCTGATGTTTATCTTGTATGTGTTTCAAGGATTTTACTGCAGGTTATGCATAGTTTGGTCCTATGGACTGAATGCACAATAACACTCCCTGGAATGCATTAAAGCTTCTGGTTTCATTTTTTTCCAAAAGGAATCCAGGTCATGCAGTCCAAAACATTTTGGAAGTGTGCACGGAAGCACAGTAACAAGGGGCACTTGGGAAGTGTGCTTCAAAAGCACACACCTGATCTGAATATAAACACTAAAGGAGATGTATTATAAGTGTACTATGTAAGAACTTTTCTAGTGAAGAAAGATTATACCTGTGCAGAAATAGCTTGAAACTCAGCATGGTACTAATTCACTATAACTTGTTTTGTGATCCTAGGCCATTTAAAGAAAGACAAATCTAAAGATTAGGAAATAAAAAATATAGTGTGTTTGCCATTGTTTATTTTTGTCAGTTCTAAGAAAAAGAAAAGCCAGGAAGTCACACTTGAAATTTCTCCCTTCAGGCATCCAATGTGTTGACTTTTCAAAAGATGACGGTTATTCCTTTTCTTACCCTTTCCTACACATACCTTTTATATTGAAATTTATTCTTGCATGCAAAAGAATTATTCAAAGAATAAATAACAAGATGTATAAATCCAGAAAGTATTTTTGTATCAGCTAAGCCTAGTAATGTGAAAGTAAACATAATCATAGCACCCTTCCTCAAGGGCTGTTCTTGTATATATATTGCCTTTTGGCCAGAAAAATTGTGAAGTAGCTTAAAAGTAATAATATGACATTCAACAAGGAAAATGTCATTGTAGAGATTAAATCTAGATATATTTTACCAGTGGGATTAAATGCCAAACCTGATCCTGTGGATCAGGGAAGGCTGCTGGAAAAATCATTGTAGAAAGTTGATTAAGGTCTGGCAGCTGCTAAACTGAGTACAACCTGGGTGGCCACAGGTGTCAGCTCAAACTCTGGAGTAAACAGAGAAGGTAAGCCAAAACCCCTACTGACAATGTAAGGAGAAGAAAATACCAACCACCTAATATTAAAATGTCACCTGAGTACTGATTTGTTTCTATAAAAGTAGATGCATTTTGTTTATGGTTTGGGTTTTTGTTCTGTTTGGGGGTTTTTTGTTTGTTTTTGTTTTTTTTTTTCTTAAGAAGAAGAAATATAACAGCCTAAGAAAACATAAATGAGGAACTCACTGAAGTTCTTGACGGAATTAATTTCCAGACCATATCAGCTTTGAGAAAGTACATGCATACTTCCAGCCTTCACAGTGCAGTAAACTTCAGCTCTTTCCTAAGGCTTTATTCAGTGCCTGACATAACATTACATAGTTTGAACTTAAACATGTAGAGAAATTATTATATGTTACTGCAGTATAGTTGTTAATGTTTGGAAAGACTATCATTGATAGACGCCCAGAGTTATTGTCATGTCAAATTAATGTTTTCATTACTTCTGAAAATGGTAGTTTTATTACAGTTTGTTTCAGTTAAATACATGTCAGCGAAGGAAAAAAGAAGG